AGAAATAACGATCAGAACCCGCCACGTGTCTCCTCGCGAAGCAGATCAACGCCCAGATATACGCAACACCAACATACACACTGTGTATGAAAGCGCGCGAAGAGTTAATCTTGATAAGTGAATATCTAGATGAGATACGATATACGATATATCCGCCCATCCCCGAAATCTTAAGCCGGTAATCTGACCGATGATGCGACCCGCGCAAGTGACACGCATTGAATTACCGATTGTCGTAGGTCGTTTATTTAATACGACAAATTCACTGCTACCTCACGTGGAATGTACATTAAATAGGTCCACCTCTCTGACATAACAATTACCGATCATTAACCCCCTCACCCTCTCCCCTTTCCGCCCATATAATACTAATGACGCCAATCATGATCCCATCATCAGCGATATTTTAATAGCGATGAAAAACAACTAAAGAAAAATCATAAGAAATCAGATTTCCACACGAGCAATCCGATATACTTATATTATGCAAAATTACAGTATGGAAAATCGTCGACGGAGATTGTACTGGTATTGGGGGGAAGGTAGGGGGAGATAGGAGGAGGGGGTGGAGGGTGAAAGCTAATGGTAGAAGGGAGCACTTGTCCCGGGTGGCTGGAGTATCCGTCGGAGACAACCGAACAATCTGTAGAAACCCCTGTCCAGGACGGGAGAGAAGTTCGTAGATCAGCCAATCAGATAGTCATATCCCCCCTCTCATCCATTGTCACAAAATGGCGGCTCTAAATCAGCTTGACTCCGCCTATTGCCTTCTGCCCCTTCCACCGATTCCTCGGTGAAGCGCCTCTTGCGGCGCGTCTCGAAAAACTCCGCCTATCGATTCATTTTTACCACTCTTGTTCTCTCCACCCTTTATTTTTTTTTCATCCTTTCTTTTTATTTTTTCAAATGCTTTTTTTTTTCCTCTTCTTTTTTTATCATTCGGTGGATGTACGCACTGGAGGTATTAAAATCCACCGGTGGCTATCGCGCTTTCCTCTCCTTTGTACGTACGCATATGTCAATACGCCACTATTCCATTTTCTGAGTCTAATTCATGGATCAGAAGAAAGTATTCAGTACTTGGATTATCTGATGTATTTGCCATTTGTGGTCGCTCAGGGGATTAAAAAATGGATGCATTGTGATTTAGGAAAAGTTTTGCTAATAAAAGGATCGAGGATATTTTAATGCTGGGGGGAGCTGGGGGGGAGGTATCATTGTTGGTCGTATCGTTATGGCTTTGTTTTGTTAACAATGTTCATGCGAGGCAACGTTTATGGAGATACAAGACTCGGGAATAATAATTTTCCGGACTGGATTATTTCAATGCGAGATTTCTCAGAAGCTGTTGTCCAGTCTTCCATTTTTCGCTCGATTGGAAATCTGATTTCAGAATTTCTTTTGTCCTCACTGATTAATATTTATTATAAACATTAATTGTCCGAAATTTATCTGTTATTCCGTCTTTAAATTCCCTAATTCACCTCTCTTACATTAAATTCAATAACGCTTCCCAATATTTATTTAATCAATTGTTCCCAAAATTTTTGAGGGATTCATCGTGCAAAAAAAATTGTAAAAAAATTTCTGCTAGATAAATAAATGTTTTGGGGGTTAATAAATATCATTGTACCTCTGTCGACAGGAACAGTGAACTGTTGGTGGTGAATAATAATGCAAAGTCTCAATCCCAAATAAAAAACATTGGAAATAAGTTAACGACGTACGTTTAAGGTTGACTGAGTCGCGTGAACATTAACATTGGGTTATTACAAGGTACATTTGCTGGGTAAAATCCAACAAGGTGTTCCGAGTTTGAGACTAATGACTCTCAATAATGGGGAGTCGTGGCACATTAATGTGCCTGTCTGTCCCAACAAATCTTTAAAGTATTGAGCCGTAATGACAGTGAAGGATTTCTCCCGTAATGGTCATTTTCCCTAGACGTCTCCCCCATTCTGTTTTACATGCGTGCATTACGCACTTAGAAGTAAAATTTTCACGGATTAAATTGAAATTCCCTCGGATTTTCCCATTGCACTCTGAATTACAACTGGAAAAATTTTTCTCTCGATAATCCAGTGAAAAAGGTACTTGTAAAAAATGGAAAATATTCCCTGAAAGGCAATGGGCAATGCAATTACTAAACGTCAGAGTGAAACTATATTCTGATGTGAGGCTCGAGATTTTTTTTTTTGGATTATGGAAGATTCCCACATCACTGGTCTTTGGGGTATCGAAAAATGAGAGTCATCGTATCACGAGCATTGGATACCGAGCCCCGGGAGAATTCCCGATCGAAAAGCCATATTCTTGGCTTCGCAGAAGACATTCTACCGGAGATTATCCGTAACAGGGAAACATCGATCGCTCCCACAGGACTCGAGATGTATTGAGAAACTGGAGAGTTTCATCTTCCGTCGTTTTAACAAAAAAAAAATGTCCAGCAATTCAGATTGTGAAACCATTATTCCTGTCATGTATATATTTTTTTTTTCATCCATTAAATTGTCAGTCTTGTAATTTCAGTAGAATTTAAAATAAATGCCATATCGTAATTGATTAATTGCCAAAACAATTTCCCTATTTTATGAAAATAACTGAAATACCTCAGTAACAATATATTATCGATAATAGAAGAGGATGATCAGGTCAAGACTAGAAGTGGGTCGCAGCCACGCCTTCTCCTGACACATAAAAAGATTTCGTTTCTTTCGTTAGCTCCACAATCTACATCTTCCCTCTATATTTGACATTCTCACTCCCGCCGACTCTTGACGTGCGGTCTAAATCCTCTAATTAAACCGCAGCTACCGCGCATCAGCTAATAGAATTTAATAAAGACCTTTTATATTTATTGAGAGACAGGAGGTAAAACTTGAAACCCGTATTACAGCTTTTCTATCAGGCTGTTTAATATACTGCTACCACATTCGAGTTTTGTCCGAGGGGATGTGTGTGCTGTATGAATGGTGAAGACTAATGTCTCGACTAATTACTGATTGAGGAGACTTTGAGACGGTAGTCGGCTTTCGGAGAAACGAAAAGGATTATGTTCCTAATGGGCTCGAGAGCTACTGACCGCTGAGGATGAGAGGGACAATGGCGCCGAGTCGTTAATATTTTAGTCAAAATATAGAATGTACAACAATGAGAGAAAATCAGAGAATGGAGGCGTTGCCTTATCTGAGGAAAATTATTCCAATACCTCATGCACGGAGAAATCAGAACCGAATGAATCGTCTCGCGGATTTATACGAAATTCTCGCATATTCCCACAATATTACTTACAAGTTAAATTTGTGGAACAGAAATCGATTGGGGCTTGTAAATATATTTTACTACTCCGAAATCGTGTTCGTTAATAATATTGGATAATAAATTATCAAATTATCCAAATTGGATAATAAATTATCCAATTTGGGCGTAATGGGTGGTACGTCAACACGAATTTTGCTATAAATTATTTTTCGTGAATGTATAAATGGAAAATGAAAATCTGCATACCTGAATGAGGTATTGCAGATGACGAAGCATTACAGGCGACAGTGAGATGAGTCAGGTTAATTATTGACAGACGCCATCGGTTTTCTCTGTCTTGCCGATTTCCATTCCCCCGAAAAGGCGCGACTGATCGACCGAGTCCAGTATTAAATATAACGAAAATGGGTTTTGAAAAATTCACTCAATTCTCAAGATTAATGATGTGGTCTTGATTTGAGGGAAACACCCCAGAACAGAAAATTGCAATGATTGAGGAAAATGAAAGAAAAAAAAATGCCAAGAGTGATAAGTAGACCGAGAACTCGAAGGACTAGGGAATCTACTCCAGATTTGGCACTGATCTCCTCATTACATAGCTTTTACGTGGAAAGAGAAAAAATGCGGTCATCAACTAGGATCAGAGTGTAGCCCTCTTAAAGAGCAGATCAGACACCTGTCTCCTGCTCTTGGTCGTCAGGTTTCCCCGAAATTTCTGTAATCTAACCTGTGCCGATGCTCGAGAAGCTTTACGATACGACTTAACCTGGATTTTGTCTGTAACGGAGAGAAGAGCGAGGAAATTTTCTCAGGTACCTGAGATTTCTCACTTCTGCTCTAAAATGTCGCAATGTCTTACGTGTCGGGATACCCCATTGTTAAGGTCGTAGGTGGTAGCCGCACCCGTGGGGCTTTACATCTGAGAGAGAAACACGAGGTGATAGAGAAGGTTGGGAGAAGAAAAAAAAAAAGCCCCCTGCTAAGATTTGGTGAGGCAGGTTCCGAGGTAGATAGGGGGTTGAAACAGAAACGTGCGGGCGTGCGGCATCCAAAATGCCAATGCGTAGAGCACGCGTTTAACTATGGAAATCGTTCTCTCGGAGCGCCACGGTTTTTATGGTCTCTCCAATCCCTACACCTGATTTATGGTTTGTGAAACACCATAAAATGCTGTTAAAAAATTCGAGAAAATAGGCATCTTGGGGGAGACTGGCGTCACTGAAGTTTTTTTTTTAACCTCATGTTACTATTGGGGGTGCATTGTTCTACTGCTGTTCGTGAGCCGATTTTTTATTACTAGAGTATTTGGATGGGCTTTGTTAATAAAATTCAATTTTTATGAGGAAAATTGAATTCTAAATGTTCAATTTTTATGGGCTAAGCTATTTAATTTAAATATTTTTCAAAAGGGACTTTTGTCCTCAAGATTTTTCATTTTCTTCTCAATTTTCATCGACTCTCAGTTTTAAATCCTCAAACAATATTTTCTTACTAATAATTATTTGTTCTTAAATTTGAGAGAGAAATATAGAACAGGGATTTTATATGTTGTGTATTATTTATTTTTTGAAGATAAATAATGGAATCGGGGATTGCAAATGAAAATCTGAAGAGTCATGGAAAAAAATGGAAAATCATTGCGCCACATAATGTATTTGGTACATGAAAAGACTGGACTGCACCTTTTCGAATACTTGACGCCTCCAATCCTCAAAAACAAACTGAAAGTATATACTTACAGTTATTCTAGTGTCGAACAAAGTCCTCCCTGAAGACCGTAGTTCCATGATCGACTACAGGACCATGGGTATCGATTTCACCGGTCGTAAATAATGACTCAGTCCCTAGGGTCCTCTGCACTACCTCCGTAACTATTTATGACCATCCTCGGCAGTAGTGCTCCATACGGCCTTTTTTTTCCAAGGTGGCACTAGAAATTTCAAATATTTCGTATTGACTTTATTTGTTTTATTCCAACTCAACAACAAATCCACAGATTTACCATTGAGTCTATTGAGTTGAGAATGGAAATAAGAATATAATAGAAAAGATGTTTTTCGGTTTTCATGAATAAAATCTATTTTGGCTTTTTCAATGGAGAAAATCAAGGCACAATGGCGTCCCGGGAGAGGCGCGATGATTCTACATTCAATGGACAAGAGGACAGGTTACCTCAGTCAAATCACCGGGTCCGAGGCCCCATTGGGTGTCAGAATCAATAATATTCAGAGGAAAAATTGATCTTTTCATGTCGGAGACAAATTGTCGACAAAACTTTTACGGAGAAAAAAATTTCAAGCCGCAATTTTCATTTTCCCATTTTCCACACGAATTCTACCCACAGCAGATAATTTCAATTTTCAAAAAAAAAAAGAAATATTCTTTCAGGCCCAATTTTCCTCCGATTTTTTATTTTTCGGTAATGATTCCGTAAAAATGATGGGAATATTACGTGAATTGTCCCGTAATTTCCCTCGAACTTTTCATCGCGGGAGGAAACGAAATAAAAATGAAATCCAGAAAATTCCCGCCCATCCCACCCCCGTCTCCTCTACTTTTATTTTTTCTTGTTTCGGGTCCAGGTATAGACTCTACAGGTTCATTCTTTTATTTCGAACGCGATGTGTTTACAGGTGACATCACGTAGCAGTATAGAATTCTCTGAATTTTAGAATCTCAGTTTCTTTTTTACGGCGCCATGCATTTAGCTGCGATCGTGTCTGCCCCCCAAAAACTTCATTCAAACTCAATTTATTGTTGACATTAAAATAATGGTACCGCTGGAATTATTTTCCTCCCATTTTTATTCGAATTACTTAATTTTTCCGAATTTTTCCGGAGGGGTAGTACGGGGCCAGAAGATTGGGAAATCTTCTTTCAAGGGGTTTGGCGTGATTTTTCTTGATTAGATAAATTTCCTAGGAAATATACGAAGATTTGAGGAAAAAATTTCAACGAGTCGGAGAGGTACAGATGAGAACAGAGAGAGGAGGAGACTTTCCTGAAGATTACAGACTGCTGATGTTCTGCTTGAACTACCGAGAAATGGGGTCCCGCCCCTCTCGTTATATTCAATACAAACACATTTTTCAAAAAATTGAAAATTATCTCGGTAATGCACTGCCTACACGAGGTCTGCGTTGAAAATTTATCTCCGAATTTTCCGGTGCAAGCCACAATATCTCGTGTCATCTTATCAGTCCGGTGTCTTCAGTTATCATTTAAAATAATAATTGATTTATCAAAAAAAAAATTCTCCAGAGATTGAATTCACTTGGTCACCGTTAAAAAGAATTTCAACATAAATTTCAAGCTGAATAAATCCAAATAAATTGACCTATGATTTTTTTGTCTGCCCAGCGACAAAGCCACGTTAAAGCAAATGCATGGGCTTTGAAAACTAACCGAGGAGTGTCCCTAACGAGACGATGATATTCGATAAACCGAGGAATCGTGCCGGATGAAAACGTGAAGAAGGCACCACTCAATGGGTTGAAATGATGCCTCTTTGCCTGTGGTCCTCGACACGTATACAGAAGATAGATGTCGATAGAGCAGATCATTCGGCCCCTCATTCTTTGTAACCTAAGCGAAAAACCGAGTGCAATCCTCCATCCCTCGCACCACAAAAATATTCCCCAAACTTTCCAATAATGACGATGCGACAAAAACCGTTAAAAAAAATATCTCCCCATAATTCGTCGAATGACACCCCGATACTTAACCAAAAATCATTGATGCAATCGCAGCATCCGCAATCACCCCAACTGAATCTCTGGATTCACCCCCCAGGACATTAATGCGAGAACGATCGTTCCATGTCCTGCAGATATAACTTCCACATTCAAATTAATTCGCGACTGACGTGCAAGTGTACTGCCTCGTAATATCATATCATAACTCTTGAGGTTGGGGTTGGTGGTTGGCAATCAGCTTATCTCCGGTACGATATGCGTTATGTTTCAATTAGCCCTCTCACTATTCCACATATTATTTACCATCCAAAGAGTCTTATCCAATATGTGGCTCATCATAAATACAGGTGGATTTAATCCATCAGAGCTGAATCTCGTCTTCCGTCATCTAGCGCTGATTACGACCAGCACTCGTAGGACAGCAGAATATCAAAAGTCCCATAATAATGTCTGCAGATGTTTATTGCAACGATTTAATTCAATAAACAAGAGCATTTCTTCAGAATGTCGCCCTTTATGATGTGTTTAGAGCGACGGCGAAGTCACATATTCAGGAGTCACTCAGATATTATCCATCATCCGGGGATATTGCCCAATCCTTTTGGAGATAACGCATAATCGATTCAGTTTGGCAACAGCCAGGGCTCTCACATAATCGCACACCGTTAAACTGATTTGTCGCTTTATTAGATCTTAGCTTGCTCTAGATCTCTTGCAGATGGCGACCAACGCATCGAGTTTAAATGGCGGATGGCACGAGCTATTTCCATGTGTACAATGCATCTGGTCTTGGTTACTGCCAATTTACATAAATTAGATGACTCGCTCCTGGTCAACTACATGCACCAGAAATCTAATCATCGGTTATTCGATATCACCGAATGGTCTTATGATTGCATCGGAGGACCTTGTTTCAGGGGTAATTGTCTGCTTGCTTTCAATGGATAGCTTTCGTCTTTGAGTTATCTTATTGGCGCAGGAGAGGTACTTCATGGGGTCTGAGGGCCTTGATTCTGGTCTAATTATTACTGAATGTAGTTGAGTATCAATGGGATTATGTTTTGGTATTGATTACATCGGCATAATCACTTGAAATCCACGAAATTGAATGAACTTTCAACGACAGATGCCGAATTTATTTTTCATTGATATTCTATTTCATTTTTTTATTTTTAAAATCGATCATCTCTTTTCGACCTATCACTTCGATTAAATTATTGATATATTCATTTGCTGATTAGGCGATGATAAAATATCTGGTGTCGAGATGTGATTTTAACTCTCGGGGGGTTGTTTGAGTAAATATCCCCGATGTGGTGACGGCACCCCTGGCCCCCCTGTGGTGGTAAATTGGCCAAATCAAACACTTGCACACATCTGTTATCCGGCAACCGACAACATCTTAATGCCAGCTCGCAAGTGCACATCGCTCTGTGGATTGTTGTTTGCAGTGTCATTCTCTGTACAGTTCACGGTATTGTGATTGGGGTAATAAACGCGCTGGTGTTGACAATAAAATCATCTCACCATTTTCGTGGTCCCTGCGGTGTCATACTGAGGTCTTCTCCCGGAGTTAAGGGACAGCTGGCCAATTGTATAATTCACCGCTGTGACACAAGTGCATGTACACAACAGAAGGACATTAAAGGAGCATTGAGATTCTATTATAATTGCGGATAGGTTATATACTGCTCTCTATTACCGCACTAGGTGATTTTCGACGTGCTTGATCGTTTTAGAAGGGAGGAGTTATACAATTAATCGTAGAGTCTACATCTCACCGAGTGCAGGGTGAAATGGTACTTTGTTCATTAAACATTTTTCAACGCGTTTACGCAGGGAAGAATTTACCGAGTAATTGACTCGGACTTACTTGCCCATTTTTTATTAATTGTTGGAAAACGTTATCCCGTCGGTATAGGCTCTATTTCCCAATAATTTAGCTCGCGGGGATTGGTTATAGTATGAAATGCGAGGGTAGGACTGGTGGAAAAGGGTGAGAGGAGAGGGGTGGCTTTAGGAAAGGCAGGGGTTGCTCACCGCGCACACGACTGACACTATCAAAGCCATAAATATCGGGAGCCTCTGACGTCACCGCGCCCAGAGCCTGATATTATACTTTATCTCGAAACTAATTCCCGCGACCAGATTTATTGCAAGAAAAAGGGGTGAAAAAAAAAAAAATCTCACCCTCGCTCCAGCGCCACCCACTCTGTTTTCACGCAGTCACCTTCGGTTCCTCTTTTCGCTTCTTCTCAAGCGTTATGCTTCTTCCTACTTTTACCCTCCTATCATTTATTTTCTTCTTATTTTCACTTATCTCGCTAATGTAAAAGTACCAAAACGCCAAGAGTACACAGAGAATCTATTTATTTTCGGGGGATAATAAAGAATCCGCCCCTTACTTCAAATTTTCTGCTGATAACGCCATGAATATTCGCACGTTCTTACCATCCAAACTCTCGGCTTCCACTCGTTTTCCCTCGGGGAAAGCCATTTGTGCTCGAAAAACCGGATTGATTAAATTGTTAATGTCACCAACAATAAAATCTACTGTTTTAATCATTGGAATTCTACGAGTGCAATACGGAAAATCTTTTTCCCCATTTACCGAGTTGGAAATAAAATCGAAAATCTTCCCCTTGAAACATCTATCTAAAAATCAATTAAATCCATGACTTTGTTATTATTTTCCCTCATATTTGATACATAACAATATCTCCATTCCTAGCGAGGACAACCGATGATTTTTCCGAAAAAAAAAGCGACGCGAGTGTCCCACTTCCAAGATTCCAAAAAATTTCCACCAGAGATCCATTTCTCTCTCTTTATCCGACAATGACTGCTCGGGAATAATAAAAAAAAGGGGAAAAAAATGCCGAAAAAAGCGTTGATGATTACAAAACCATCCCATAAAAGCGCATAGGATTGAAAAACGAGGGAGTTAGGTGATAAAGCATGCGTGTCATGTCGCCGCTGGCCACGTTTCTCATAAAAATGACCTTTTCCACGGCAAACGTGTACAACTGCAGCGAGGCCAGAGTATGCGTGTGCGCTTGGCTTACAGTATAAAAGTAACGAGAGAGGGTGGTGTATATCTGTACAGAGATAACAGCGATACCTCTAATATATGGCGAGGTACAGTCTACTGCCAGAACTCTTCGTATACAGCTCCGCGTATACACTCCAGTAAACGGCTAAATGCATACATTCCTTGCCGGATAAAAAAAAAGAG